GGAGAGAGAATTAATGAGTACCCTAGAATTAGGCTTCATTCATCTTACAATTAGCGCATAAGAACTGAAAAGAGATAAAGAATGGTGAGAGTAATATAGGCAGTTAGTGAACGTTCGTTAAGGGGCAGGGGTGAGCATTCATCAACGAGGGTGAGAAGGCAGGGGCGAAAGTTCGTCAACGATGGTCAGAGTACTATAAGCATGATAACTTAAGCTTTCGATAAATCCTCATCGCGCCGGTATGAGAACGTGGTCAGCAGTAAAAGAGTCAATTATGTTCGTCGTTTTGCCCAAGTGAGTCATGGGAATAGAGAAGAGGGGGAGACAGGGGTGTGGGATGGATAAGCGAAGGCTTGATAGGTGACGGTGAAGGTTTGGTGGGGCCAGTCCAGCGGGGGGTAAAGAGAGAGAGCGAATGAGTGCATTCAGTTAAGCGGCCTATGGATACGTCAGGTGTGGAGCTTGCAGGAATTTATTCTTTTTACGCAAGAACGGCTGCCTCATTCTGCTAGCGGTCGCTTTTGCCGTTGCTCGCAGAAGCTGACTCGGAATAGTTTGGTGGAACTTTATAGATCACCCGGAATACTTCGTCAGGGGGTTCACTCGATGTCCGGAATAAAAAGTGCGCGAGAATAGCGCTGTTAATGTTAATGTTTCGTTAATTGACAAGCCCCAAGTCGAGGGCTTGAGTCAACCTCAACACCAAATCCCGCCAATCAGCTGAGGTGTCGGGCCAATAAAGGTTCCACAAGTCGGTTGAGGAGGGTATTCTCACCTTTGAGTTACCGACAATTCTTTGGCTAGCTTAGACTGACACAGGGTTCATCGAGTCAGCTCGGCAGTAACACAGCCGATGGTAATCTTAGGCGCTGTCGGTTAAGACTTTTACATTTGCGTTGCTCTTAATTAACAAACTACTCGCTATTAACATTAAACAAAATGATGCCACTTCCTGCCATTAAGTGAAACATGTTTAAATGACTAGATTCCATAATTCTTTTAAGGATTCCTCATGCGTGTTTTTTTCTATTTTGTTAGGATATACGTAGCCAATCTAATTTGCCAGTGGATCCAGGATAACGGCGGCCTGAAACAAATGGATGCATTGAGTCGTCAGAAGTCGGCCGTGCTTTACTCCGCAATTGACCAATCCGATGGCTTTTACAAGTGCGTCTTGTTGAGAATAAACTGCTGCATTTTATTTATTTTACTATGCCTCTCTAAACCATCAACACAAGCATGATGATTATGATGTGTGTATGCACGAGAGAAAAGTGTATTTTGTTTCATGGATTGAGATGTGCGGCACGCTTAGACAGGATATTCAGTTTTAGCGTCCCCTGTGATCAGACGGTTGTTGAATTGGAGAAAAGGCGAGAATGAGGCCAACACCAGGGGATTCATCCCCAAGACAAATCCGCGAATTCTCATCTATGCATTCAGCTGACGTGTTTGAATCTACCACAACACGCTATCAGCCGTGTCTTGAAGACTGCCAACTGACCTGATAACTGGGTCCTACTCAATGTTGGAAGTCAAACTGCAGCACCCCCGATCTTAGATTGAGCTCATTGGACTTCCTGCCTGCATGGGAGATCCGAGCTGCCATATTCTGGCCCGATGCAGCGGAGTGGTGATCAGGTCATATGTGTGGCACCCCTAAACTAGGTGCTTGGCTATGTCAGCTATTGCGTTCGCGTTCACCTCTAGTCTTTTTGAACCCCTTCCATCATTAGAACACGGGGAGTGAGAGTGAGAGCGGGGAAGTGTGGCAGGTACTACGCATGTCCGTTTCAGTGTAAACTATAGTTTACGCGTGAGCTACCACTTCGGGGATCGAAAGTCGTCGCCTGGGACGAAAAAAGTCTCGTGTGCGTCAGAGGGAGCGATGGAATACGCTGTATTTGGGCATAAACAATATGTTAATCAAAAAGGGTTTTGTGATGATTGAAGGGAGAATTTTTAAAACTCTCTTTGTTTTAATAAAAAAAGTGTTCAAAACACACTTAATGACCACAAACAAAAAGTACAGATTTCATGCTTTCTGTTGGCTCAGCAGTCATCGAGAGAACTTCAGTTTTTCCGTCGGTCATGATCGCAGCTAGAAGATGGCGCCATTTATTGGGACGAAAAAACTAAGAGGCAATTGGGGTTCAGCTAGTCAAATGCCGATTTTCAAGCGGAGACAAGAATATGTCCACGAGTAAACGAGCAGAAGACCGAAAACGGCTTTATTTGAAAAGCTGTCTGATTTCTTTACGGAAAAGACAAGGAAAGAACCATCTGCAGAACATTTAAATCTTACAGTTTTCGTAATTTTTGATAAAATAACTTTGTTCTGTTACGGAATACGTGCAGAAGGATGTTTCCCGGAGCACCCCAGAGGAGCATATACCATCCATATGTAGAGTTATTTCTTCAGGAGTCTGAATTTTGAAGTAAAAACCACAAAAACAGATTATTGAGAGCTAATGTTTTCGACAGAAGGACCCGCATACAAAAATTTTTGCACAGTTCACGGCTGATTGTAACACCCAGTTGCTCTACATGTCCTGGAGCAAATATTCAGAATGCATCGAGCTTCGACGATGATTATGTCTTAAAATGAGCCACGAATGCAGATTAGCGCCGAAACGTAATCGGGATTTAGTCATATGACGCGAATGATGCCGGTAGACAAGACTAGATAAATTGACCTTGTTAACGCTAAACATCACAGCATGATGGAATTTAAAAGAATGGTGGGCAAGAGTTCCTCGTAAGCAACGCTGTAGTTTACTAGACATACCTAATCACTTACTTCCCTGTAGTTTATTATATAGTTTAATTTAGTTATTAGTTTATTTGTCATTTAGTTTTATTTTTTTCAGTTTACTTTGAAGTTTGAATTGTTTACTTTTGTCAAATGTAGCGTAATTTAGTTTAAGTTTACTTTTTACTGTATTATTTGTTTTTAGTTTAGGTAGTTGTTTTATACTGAGCAACAGTGTTACTTATAGGGAACCCTTATCAATTATTGCGTGCCCTAACACGGAGGATGCACTGGGGCTCTCGTTAAGTGGATCCACTATTTCGAGAAAAGTAGAATAAAAACTGATACCTAGGGGCTTTCAGTTTCCTAAATCCCGCCCAAAAACTGCTTAATAAGCTGTTTCAGATAGTAATTTGCGGCTTTTTGAAAGATGACCGTTATTGGTTAACGTGATCATCTTCTAACCTGCAGCCTTCTGGTAATCCTTTTTTATGGAAGGCACTCTTTTCGCAATTGATCTGACAGTGCTAAGCGGGTATGAACGATCAATAACGCGATCTTACTCTGGGAACAAGTCAAGATAAGCCTAATGAGACAGCCACGATATGGCGAAATCAACTGTCTACACCGACCAGTTAAGCGCAGAGACAGTTAGGCAAGTATCAGCAGTTGAGTCCACAAATGACACCAGTTAACGTCCTTCACATAACACTTAATAAACAAACTTAAACAAATGGAGGTAAATTCAAGTTCAGAAAGTGCGCTACAAATAGAGTAAGTGTGCATAGTTGTATATAAACACAGTATGGTAAAGGGTTACCACGAGAGTACAGGAATTAGTACAGGAATTGGTATTATCATTGAAGGCGTCTTCGGTGGAGACGCTATTTTTAGCAACACATATTTAAATCAGCGTTTAGAAGGTAATGATCTAAATCAGCTCATACTAGGAAATAACCGACCCAGTTACGAGCGGCTCTCAGGCATCTGAACTGTCTTTAACGGGGAGATAGAGATACTCGATTTTGCATTACAGCTCTGATCTAGAATCCACAAGTCTTCATTTCGGCTCCATCCTAAAATAGAATGGTGCCCTGTCCATAGTGCTAACATGTGGTCCTTATTATTTT